TCACTGCATCAGCTGAAGCTAAAAAAAAAAAAGGCTGAAACATGTGCCTGTAAAGTGAACCCATGCAAGTGTTTTTCCAGCTATGAGGTTAAATTGTTCCCACTTGTTTGAAATCCTGCTTGAGTGTAAGCACTATAGGGTTTTTTGGACTACATTACTTCTTCAGCTACAGCCCCAAACTCTGAGTGTTTCACAAATAACTAGGGCTTAGCTTGGCTCTCTGTTTTGGACTCATAACTTTACTTTCAGGAAACACAACTGTTTTTGAACACAGAGATATTCATTTCAGGTTGACTAGAGGTCAAGAGACAATGTGGACCAGTATAGAGCTAGCAGACCAAGCAGAGATTGGTACTATTGGTACTTCCCAGCATTAAATACATATTCCCTAACGGGAATCGAACCCGGGGCCGCAGCGGTGAAAGCGCTGAATCCTAGCCACTAGACCATTAGGGACCCCATTGGTGTGAAGTAGGACAACACTGAAGTTATCAATTTGTCTGACAAGACACACAACTTAACGTAGCACGGGTTTAGTAGTATTTTCCTTTTTTCAGCGGAGCGTAAGCACTATAGGGTTTTATGGACTACATTACTTCTTCAGCTACAGCCCCAAACTCTGAGTGTTTCACAAATAACTAGGGCTTAGCTTGGCTCTCTGTTTTGGGCTCATAACTTTACTTTCAGGTAAACACAACTGTTTTTGAACACAGAGATATTCCATTTCAGGCTGACTATAGGTCAGATGACAATGTAGACCAATATAGAGCTAGCAGACCAAGGCAGAGATTGGTACTATTGGTACTTCCCAGCATTAAATACATATTCCCTAAATGGAATCAAACCAGGGCTGCAGTGGGTGAAAGTGCTGAATCCTAGCCACTAGACATTAGGGACCCCATTTGTGAAGTAGGACAACACTGAAGTTATCAATTTGTCTGACAAGACACACAACTTAACGTAGCTCGGGTTTAGTAGTATTTTCCTTTTTTCAGCGGAGCGTAAGCACTATAGGGTTTTATGGACTACATTACTTCTTCAGCTACAGCCCAAGGTAAGCTCCAAACTCTGAGCCAATCACAAATAATAGGGCTTAGCTTGGCTCTCTGTTTTGGGCTCATAACTTTACTTTCAGGTAAACACAACTGTTTTTGAACACAGAGATATTCCATTTCAGGCTGACTATAGGTCAGATGACAATGTGGACCAGTATAGAGCTAGCAGACCAAGGCAGAGATTGGTACTATTGGTACTTCCCAGCATTAAATACATATTCCCTAAATGGGAATCAAGCCAGGGCTGCAGCGGTGAAGTGCTGAATCCTAGCCACTAGACAATCAGGGAGCCAGTGGAAGATGGCTGGTGGACACACCGGTGAATCAAGTCTTCCTGAAACATGAACCATTTTCAGCAACTCTGGTCAAGTACTTCAGACTTGAGGAACGTCCAGCAAAATTTGAATGACATTTGCTTTGTTGTTTTTTTTGTGTTTGCAACACTTGTGCACATCACTGCATCAGCTGAAGCTAAAAAAAAAAAAAGGCTGAAAACATGTGCCTGTAAAGTGAACCCATGCAAGTGTTTTTCCAGCAATGAGGTTAAATTTGTTCCCACTTGTTTGAAATCCTGCTTGAGTGTAAGCACTATAGGGTTTTTTGGACTACATTACTTCTTCAGCTACAGCCCCAAACTCTGAGCGTATCACAAATAACTAGGGCTTAGCTTGGCTCTCTGTTTTGGGCTCATAACTTTACTTTCAGGTAAACACAACTGTTTTTGAACACAGAGATATTCCATTTCAGGTTGACTATAGGTCAGATGACAATGTGGACCAGTATAGAGCTAGCAGACCAAGCAGAGATTGGTACTATTGGTACTTCCCAGCCATTAAATACATATTCCCTAACGGGAAATCGAACCCGGCCGCAGCGGTGAAAGCGCTGAATCCTAGCCACTAGACCATTAGGGACCCCATTGGTGTGAAGTAGGACAACACTGAAGTTATCAATTTGTCTGACAAACACACAACTTAACGTAGCACGGGTTTAGTAGTATTTTCCTTTTTCAGCGGAGCGTCAGCACTATAGGGTTTTATGGACTACATTGCTTCTTCAGCTACAGCCCAAGGTAAGCTCCAAACTCTGAGCCAATCACAAATAAGTAGGGCTTAGCTTGGCTCTCTGTTTTGGACTCATAACTTTACTTTCAGGTAAACACAACTGTTTTTGAACACAGAGATATTCCATTTCAGGCTGACTACAGGTCAGATGACAATGTGGACCAGTATAGAGATAGCAGACCAAGGCAGAGATTGGTACTATTGGTACTTCCCAGCATTAAATACATATTCCCTAAATGGGAATCAAACCAGGGCTGCAGCGGTGAAAGTGCTGAATCCTAGCCACTAGACCATTAGGGACCCCATTGGTGTGAAGTAGGAGAACACTGATGTTATCAATTTGTCTGACAAGACACACAACTTAACGTAGCTCGGGTTTAGTAGTATTTTCCTTTTTTCAGCGGAGCGTAAGCACTATAGGGTTTTATGGACTACATTACTTCTTCAGCTACAGCCCAAGGTAAGCTCCAAACTCTGAGCCAATCACAAATAATAGGGCTTAGCTTGGCTCTCTGTTTTGGGCTCATAACTTTACTTTCAGGTAAACACAACTGTTTTTGAACACAGAGATATTCCATTTCAGGCTGACTATAGGTCAGATGACAATGTGGACCAGTATAGAGCTAGCAGACCAAGGCAGAGATTGGTACTATTGGTACTTCCCAGCATTAAATACATATTCCCTAAATGGGAATCAAACCAGGGCTGCAGCGGTGAAGGTGCTGAATCCTAGCCACTAGACAATCAGGGAGCCAGTGGAAGATGGCTGGTGGACACACCGGTGAATCAAGTCTTCCTGTAAACATGAACCATTTTTCAGCAACTCTGGTCAAGTACTTCAGACTTGAGGAACGTCCAGCAAAATTTGAATGACATTTGCTTTGTTGTTTTTTTTTGTGTTTGCAACACTTGTGCACATCACTGCATCAGCTGAAGCTAAAAAAAAAAAGGCTGAAAACATGTGCCTGTAAAGTGAACCCATGCAAGTGTTTTTCCAGCAATGAGGTTAAATTTGTTCCCACTTGTTTGAAATCCTGCTTGAGTGTAAGCACTATAGGGTTTTTTGGACTACATTACTTCTTCAGCTACAGCCCCAAACTCTGAGCGTATCACAAATAACTAGGGCTTAGCTTGGCTCTCTGTTTTGGACTCATAACTTTACTTTCAGGTAAACACAACTGTTTTTGAACACAGAGATATTCCATTTCAGGCTGACTACAGGTCAGATGACAATGTGGACCAGTATAGAGCTAGCAGACCAAGGCAGAGATTGGTACTATTGGTACTTCCCAGCATTAAATACATATTCCCTAAATGGGAATCAAACCAGGGCTGCAGCGGTGAAGGTGCTGAATCCTAGCCACTAGACCATTAGGGACCCCATTGGTGTGAAGTAGGAGAACACTGATGTTATCAATTTGTCTGACAAGACACACAACTTACCGTAGCTCGGGTTTAGTAGTATTTTCCTTTTTTCAGCGGAGTGTTTTTGATTTTGTTTTATGGATGCCAACACCACCATCACTGCATTAAAAGCACATTCCCTGACCGGGAATTGAACCTGGGCCGCGGCGGTGAGAGCGCCGAATCCTAGCCACTAGACCAGCAGGGAGCCAGTGGAAGACAGCTGGTGGACACACCAGTGAATCAAGTCTTCCTGTAAACATGAACCCTTTTTCAGCAACTCTGGTCAAGTACTTCAGACTTGAGGAACGTCCAGCAAAATTTGAATGACATTTGCTTTGTTGTTTTTATTTGTGTTTGCAACACTTGTGCACATCACTGCATCAGCTGAAGCTAAAAAAAAAAAAAGGCTGAAAACATGTGCCTGTAAAGTGAACCCATGCAATGAGGTTAAATTTGTTCCCACTTGTTTGAAATCCTGCTTGAGTGTAAGCACTATAGGGTTTTTTGGACTACATTATTTCTTCAGCTACAGCCCCAAACTCTGAGCGTATCACAAATAACTAGGGCTTAGCTTGGCTCTCTGTTTTGGGCTCATAACTTTACTTTCAGGTAAACACAACTGTTTTTGAACACAGAGATATTCCATTTCAGGTTGACTATAGGTCAGATGACAATGTGGACCAGTATAGAGCTAGCAGACCAAGGCCGAGATTGGTACTATTGGTACTTCCCAGCATTAAATACATATTCCCTAACCGGGAATCGAACCTGGGCCGCAGTGGTGAAAGCGCTGAATCCTAGCCACTAGACCATTAGGGACCCCATTGGTGTGAAGTAGGACAACACTGAAGTTATCAATTTGTCTGACAAGACACACAACTTAACGTAGCACGGGTTTAGTAGTATTTTCCTTTTTTCAGCGGAGCGTAAGCACTATAGGGTTTTATGGACTACATTACTTCTTCAGCTACAGCCCAAGGTAAGCTCCAAACTCTGAGCCAATCACAAATAAGTAGGGCTTAGCTTGGCTCTCTGTTTTGGACTCATAACTTTACTTTCAGGTAAACACAACTGTTTTTGAACACAGAGATATTCCATTTCAGGCTGACTACAGGTCAGATGACAATGTGGACCAGTATAGAGCTAGCAGACCAAGGCAGAGATTGGTACTATTGGTACTTCCCAGCATTAAATACATATTCCCTAAATGGGAATCAAACCAGGGCTGCAGCGGTGAAGGTGCTGAATCCTAGCCACTACACCATTAGGGACCCCATTGGTGTGAAGTAGGAGAACACTGATGTTATCAATTTGTCTGACAAGACACACAACTTAACGTAGCTCGGGTTTAGTAGTATTTTCCTTTTTTCAGCGGAGTGTTTTTGATTTTGTTTATGGATGCCAACACCACCATCACTGCATTAAAAGCACATTCCCTGACCGGAATCGAACCCGGGCCGCGGCGGTGAGAGCGCCGAATCCTAGCCACTAGACCATCAGGGAGCCAGTGGAAGACAGCTGGTGGACACACCAGTGAATCAAGTCTTCCTGTAAACATGAACCATTTTTCAGCAACTCTGGTCAAGTACTTCAGACTTGAGAACGTCCAGCAAAATTTGAATGACATTTGCTTTGTTGTTTTATTTGTGTTTGCAACACTTGTGCACATCACTGCATCAGCTGAAGCTAAAAAAAAAAAGGCTGAAAACATGTGCCTGTAAAGTGAACCCATGCAAGTGTTTTTCCAGCAATGAGGTTAAATTTGTTCCCACTTGTTTGAAATCCTGCTTGAGTGTAAGCACTATAGGGTTTTTTGGACTACATTACTTCTTCAGCTACAGCCCCAAACTCTGAGTGTTTCACAAATAACTAGGGCTTAGCTTGGCTCTCTGTTTTGGACTCATAACTTTACTTTCAGGTAAACACAACTGTTTTTGAACACAGAGATATTCCATTTCAGGCTGACTATAGGTCAGATGACAATGTGGACCAATATAGAGCTAGCAGACCAAGGCAGAGATTGGTACTATTGGTACTTCCCAGCATTAAATACATATTCCCTAAATGGGAATCAAACCAGGGCTGCAGTGGTGAAAGTGCTGAATCCTAGCCACTAGACCATTAGGGACCCCATTGGTGTGAAGTAGGACAACACTGAAGTTATCAATTTGTCTGACAAGACACACAACTTAACGTAGCTCGGGTTTAGTAGTATTTTCCTTTTTTCAGCGGAGCGTAAGCACTATAGGGTTTTATGGACTACATTACTTCTTCAGCTACAGCCCAAGGTAAGCTCCAAACTCTGAGCCAATCACAAATAATAGGGCTTAGCTTGGCTCTCTGTTTTGGCTCATAACTTTACTTTCAGGTAAACACAACTGTTTTTGAACACAGAGATATTCCATTTCAGGCTGACTATAGGTCAGATGACAATGTGGACCAGTATAGAGCTAGCAGACCAAGGCAGAGATTGGTACTATTGGTACTTCCCAGCATTAAATACATATTCCCTAAATGGGAATCAAACCAGGGCTGCAGCGGTGAAGGTGCTGAATCCTAGCCACTAGACCATTAGGGACCCCATTGGTGTGAAGTAGGAGAACACTGATGTTATCAATTTGTCTGACAAGACACACAACTTACCGTAGCTCGGGTTTAGTAGTATTTTCCTTTTTTCAGCGGAGTGTTTTTGATTTTGTTTATGGATGCCAACACCACCATCACTGCATTAAAAGCACATTCCCTGACCGGGAATCGAACCCGGGCCGCGGCGGTGAGAGCGCCGAATCCTAGCCACTAGACCATCAGGGAGCCAGTGGAAGACAGCTGGTGGACACACCAGTGAATCAAGTCTTCCTGTAAACATGAACCATTTTTCAGCAACTCTGGTCAAGTACTTCAGACTTGAGGAACGTCCAGCAAAATTTGAATGACATTTGCTTTGTTGTTTTTATTTGTGTTTGCAACACTTGTGCACATCACTGCATCAGCTGAAGCTAAAAAAAAAAAGGCTGAAAACATGTGCCTGTAAAGTGAACCCATGCAAGTGTTTTTCCAGCAATGAGGTTAAATTTGTTCCCACTTGTTTGAAATCCTGCTTGAGTGTAAGCACTATAGGTTTTTTGGACTACATTACTTCTTCAGCTACAGCCCCAAACTCTGAGTGTTTCACAAATAACTAGGGCTTAGCTTGGCTCTCTGTTTTGGACTCATAACTTTACTTTCAGGTAAACACAACTGTTTTTGAACACAGAGATATTCCATTTCAGGCTGACTATAGGTCAGATGACAATGTGGACCAATATAGAGCTAGCAGACCAAGGCAGAGATTGTACTATTGGTAATTCCCAGCATTAAATACATATTCCCTAAATGGGAATCAAACCAGGGCTGCAGCGGTGAAAGTGCTGAATCCTAGCCACTAGACCATTAGGGACCCCATT